GTGTTGTGAAGCCCACCCCACACCTACTGTGTGCAGCCCATCTCACACCTACTGTGTGCTGCCCACCTCACACCTACTGTGTGCCCCTCTCCTCACACCTACTGTGTGCTGCCCACCTCACACCTGTGTGAAGCCCACCTCACACCTACTGTGTGCAGCCCCTCTCACACCTACTGTGTGAAGCCCACCTCACTGCTCCCAGGGAGCTCAGTGCAGCTGAAGTGCAGCTAAAGCTGCTCCGACCCCGGCACCGGGGGTCCACCCGGCACTAAACAACATGGGTCAGATCACAGGAGAGGGGCGTTTCCATGGAGACCGTAAGCCGCATCCTCCCAGAACAAGGGTTTGCCCAGAGCTGGGCCCTACATCCCTGATGTAACAAAGCGAACCCGTGGGCCTCTCCTTCAGCTGTGAGGTCTCGCTTCCCTTTTTTGTTTCTTCTCATCTTCTAATGGGACACTATCCAGACATAAGGAGTCTTATTCTGAAGAAACACGAAAATAAAGCGAAACAGACTCCACCCTGAGGGGTGAGAGGAGGCAGGAGCCGGGTGGCCCGAATGTGAGGGGCTGGAGAGGACTCAGTCCAGGACCCCCTGCGGCCCCCACTTCCCTGCTGCCCTCCTGCCGCGGGCCCGGGGCCTCTTTTTGTTTCTTCTCATCTTCTAATGGGACACTATCCAGACATAAGGAGTCTTATTCTGAAGAAACACGAAAATAAAGCGAAACAGACTCCACCCTGAGGGGTGAGAGGAGGCAGGAGCCGGGTGGCCCGAGTGTGAGGGGCTGGAGAGGACTCAGTCCGGGACCCCCTGCTGTCCTCCTGCCGCGGGCCCGGGGCCTCGCGCGCAGCCTCTGAGCATCCCTCGGGCTGCCGTGTCCTCCCGTCCCTTCCCTTGCAGCCGCCTGGCTGTCGTGGTCACGGTTCGGTGTGTCCCTGGTTCCCGGCGGCCGCCTCCCGCCCCCTGAGTGAACGGTGTTGTTCCAGGTCACCGAGGCCTCACGGCCGGCGTCCTGGCCAGCATCCTGTGTCTCCTCGCGGCCGGGCTTGCGGTTTATCTCAAAAGGAAGACGCTGGTCCGACTGCTGTTTACAGACAAGAAGACCCTTGAGAAGCTAAGGTATGGAGGGCGGGGGGGTCAAGGGCGTGCAGGCCACTGCCCTCACCGACCGCGTCCTCTAACAGAAAGGAGGTGGGCCTCCCTGGAGAGCAGACGGTGGGGTTTTCTCACGTGTCCGCCAGGCCCACTGCCTCCTCGCGCCCTCACACCCTCCGCACTATGACAGGCAGGCAGGCAGGCGGCCGGAGTCTCGCCCAGGGGTCTCCCACCTGGCGTTGGTCTCTCTGAGGCGCGGGGTGTCACAATGCTCTCATCAGGGGTTCGAGTCACACGTGTTCAGGCCGCGCTGCGGAAACGCCCTTTGTCCCGAGCGTCCCCCAGGGCACCGAGCCGCGAGTCTGGCTTGGAGAACTAATTTAACAGGATCGGCAGGGGCTCTGGGGAGAGAAATCAGTATTTCTTGTTGAATCTTGCAAGAGTGTTGGGTAATTTTACCGTTGCATGCTCACCCGCGCGGACTTTAAAACATCAATAACTTGTGTGAGTGCCGTGGTGAACAAAGCAGGAAAGCTGAGGCAGCCGCAGGGAGAGCGCCTGGTGAGCAGGTGTGCGCTGTGTTGCAGGTGCGTGCGCCCGGCCCGGCCCCCTGGCGGC